TAAATAAAATAAATAAAAAAAATAAAAATGTTTTCAATAAATAAATAAATTGGCGGCGGTGGGGGGGGGGAAGGAGACGGGAGATCCGCCCGCTTTCTAGGCTTGCCCCTCTCCCACAGCCCGGCGTTGTTTTCTCTCCTCTTTCCATCCTCGCCGCCTTCCGCGATTCCTTTCTGACCTCGGCCGCCTCTCTTCTCTCTCCTGGATCCATTCCCACGTTTCACGTGGCTCAGCCTGTCTCGCGTCTGGGCGCCTCCCTTGTTGGCTTTGCCCTCTTTTAATCCTGACGTGAGGAAAGTTACTCTTTTTTGGCGCTGTATGAGACCTTTAGCGGAAAACGTCCCCGCTCTCTCTCTCTTTTTTTTTTTTAACTTCAAGGTGGGTGTAAGTCAGCGGAAAACGTCCCCCCAAACCTTTTGGGAGTTGCAATAAGAAAAAAAGTAACTTTGCTCGCCTCTGTTGTTTCCATCCCGCAAGTGATGGTTGTCCTGTGCTGTTAATCCTCTTCTAAATTAGAGCAACACTGGTAGGGATTTCAAGTGATGATCAAGGAGTGGTTTAGCACTGCCATGCCTGGTCAGTTTCTATGGCCAACCAAGGATTGGAACTCAGGTCTCTTGAGTCTCCGCTATGCTGGCTACCTACAACAAAAGTCCTTTTGGGTTACAGTGTACACTCCCTGTTTCAGCCCCCTATGTCTGTTTCCCCACTGAGCATGCTCAGTCCTAATTAAGTTGCTTTGAGTCCCCTGACCAGGTGTTTCACCTAAAGTTTGTTTACTTTCCATTTTTCAGCTACAGAAATGGCGACACCCATATCCTATCTAAACCAATGGACATTGAGAATATGGTCCTTTTCTGTGGAGATGCTCAGACTGATCTTGATGCATTCTTAAGGTGCCCTTGCTAAAACTTAAAAACTGGGGGATGCATTTTGCATTCGTCTTTTATTTTTATACAATTAGTAAGGAGTGTTTTCATGGCAACATCACTGTCCACAACCTAGGTAGAAAGAATATATTTTTTAGAAAATCAGAAGCAAAAGAAACTGGCACTTTTTATGAATCTGATGGTGCAACATTTTTTCCACTGGGCTCTTTGTTTATTTAGGAATCTGTTGATGAGCCTTGCAAACACAATTTTGCAAAATGAGTCTCTTCTTATTCACAGTTACGGTATATAGCAGACAACATGGGCAAGTGTAATGGCAGCAAAATGCTACAGTTTGTGCAGCCAGGCCCTCTGCAACAGCACCAACACAGAAATTGCTTGTAGAACTGCAAAGTTCAAGTGTCCTTTTGAATTCAATTTCAGACAAAAATCCAAGATATCTTCCTCAACTGGGTAGGGCATCCGTAACATAGAAGGATCTGCTCCGCATGCAGAATCTTCAAAGCCCTAGAATAAAATATCAATTTCATATACATTATATGAATTCACTATGTGGGTTCACCCCTCCAGCACAACCATATCGGAATTATACCTACTAGACCATTTTGGTGAGCGCTTTATCAGTCTAAGTGGCGGCAGCAGCTCTGCCCTCTTCAACTCTCCTGCTCTTCCTGATTCAAATCTTTTACTCACAGCTCTGCTCTTTTTTTTAGTTCCACCCCTTTGGGCTGAACCAATATTTTATAGGGGTTACAATGTCACAGACTTATTTATTCATTTAAAGTATTTTACCTCTGCTTTTTGGGTTCTAACATAGAAGGTGCCACTCAAAATTAAAAGGGCTGATGAAGGAAGCAAACCAAGAGGCTAGTTTGTAGTTACTACATATAATAATTGCCCTTGCAATAAGAGGATTAAATTCCTTAAAAATAGTTCTGTGTCTGGTCCTTGGAGTGGACCAGGCTGGTCTCCCTCCTGTTATACTTCTTGGAAAACTAGAGCAGGGACATTTGTCCCTGGACAACGATAAATGTGGAAGTTGCCCCATTCAACTCTGCCATTGCACAGCAGCTGACACTTGAAGTCAGAAATGGGAATAATTTTTTTGTGGTGGTTGTTTAACAACAACAACCAAAAACATGTGTTTGTGAGTTTTGGAGGGAAGGGTTAAAATTCCCAAAATATTCTGGCCAGTGGCCATGCTGGCTGGAATATTCTAAGACGTATAATTCAGAAATGTAATTTTTTCCAAACTCTTGATGTAGCACTGCGTTCTTTCTTCTCTGACAAGCTACAATCTGTTGATATGCTCCCTTTTACACAACTGGCAAAGATACCTAATTGGAATTTTTCCATTTGGCTCCCACCCACTTTATAGAAACTGGCGTTTGTTTCAGAACAAAAAACAGTTCCTGTTCTCCTGGAAATTCAGAGTGGCTCATTTTCTCTTCCAGCCGTTTCTTGGAATAGGGCCCCTGAAATGTCTGACAGTGTCAAATGCAAACTGGCAGATTATCTTGAAGATCTGCTAGTGAAAGAATTCAGTAAATTTAAGATGCACCTGGAAGAATACCCGCTGGAGGATGGCTACAAACGCATTCAGCGCCGCAAAACTGAGAAGGCCGATGCCATAGATATAGCACGGCTCATGGTGAACGCGTATGAAGAGCGGAAGGCCTTGCAGATGACGGTCAACATCTTTGACAAAATAAACAGGAAAGATCTGTCAGAAAGCGTCCGAAGAGAGATGCCCATTTGTAAGTAAATCAAGACACTCTGATACACAACAGCACCATGAAGGCTTTGGGGAGGGTCCTCCTTCTGGAGGAATGAAGCCTAGTTTGCTGCAGATTCTGACTCTAGTCTATGATCCAGATTGCGCAAAGCATGAGCCTCCAGATGTTTTTGGTCTATACCTTCTATCAGCTGTAGCCAACATAGCCACTGTTGGGGAATGCAGTCCAACAAGGATTTGTCTAGCTTTGATATGCAATGCCCATTGTACATCAAACATGATGGAAAATGCCTATTGGCTTTCTAATGGTAGCCCCCCCACCACAATTCAGCCTATGTCAGTGGTTCCCAAACTCAACTGGGTTGAGAACCCCTGGTCTGTGTGATGACCTTCCATTCATGCTGTTCAAGTATGCATGTCTCACTTTGGACAAGTGGGAGGTTCCAGACAGCTTTCTACCTCTCACCTATGGTTCTTTACAAGGACAACATATGGCGGTTTTTCACTATATAGGCTTATTTATGAAACTCCCTTCATTTACATTCTTACATGCATGTACCCTACCAAAGTCNNNNTTTTATTTTATTTTATTTTATTTTATTTTATTTTATTTTATTTCAAGGTTAAGGGGAAATAGATCAGGATAAGAGGGAATATATCATGCCATACATTGTCACATATTATCCATACTTAAACATATCATTACATTAAAAACGTTTGTGTCTGTTAGTTGTCTATATAATTCCAACTAGAGTTATTTGACTCTTTTGTACAGTACTAAAATTATCACATTTGGCTTTCAGCTTATAGAATGGATCCAATTATATATCGGGTCCTATTTTTCAGTTGCTTGTTGGATTGAATTGTCTTTCAAAGCTTCTGTTAATATGTTCATCTCCACCAATTCCATAATCGTTTCCACAAATTTTTCATGATTTGGTACAGTGGTGCCTCACTTAACGGCGATAATCCGTTCCAGGAAAATCACTGTTAAGCGAAAACGTTGTAAAGCGAAAATAAAAAGCCCATTGAAACGCATTGAAAACTGTTCAATGCGTTCCAATGGGCTAAAAACTCACCGTCCAGTGAAGATCGTCCATACGGCGGCCATTTTTGCTGCCTGTATAGCGAGCGGCGGCCATTTTCGCTGCCTGTATAGAGAGGAATCAGTCCCTAAACACAGCGGGGAGCCATTTTAATAACCCGGTGGCCATTTTGAAACCACCGATCAGCTGTTAAAAAACATTGTTTTGCAAAGAATCGGTTCCCAAAGCAGGGAACCGATCATCACAAAGCGAAAAAACCCTATTTAGACCACCCTGTTTAGAACATTGTTGTGAAGCAGATTCATTGTAATGCGAAGTAATCGTAAAGCGGGGCACGACTCTATTTCGGTTTTCTTCCATTTCCATGCATATATTATTCTGGCCGAAGTTATTATCATCCACTCTTAATGACTATACTCTACCAAAGTCTGCTGAGGGAATCTGGGAGTTGTAGTAAAACAAACAACCAAACAATTAACAACAAAAAAACAGTGTTTCCAAGCTCAGTCTGGACTCTCCTAGTTCTCATCACAAGAATGGCTAATTGTAATTGCTTGTGTGTAGACTACAGAAACAACAATGAAAGCAAAAGTTGTTTGTCATGTTAAAACCAATCCATATCCTCTTCTTACACCAGTTGTTCCCCTGTGCACGGAAATCTTTCAAAGCTACCTGCCTAAGGTATCAAACATGTAAAAGAGCTCTCTCAGAAACCAGCTGTAACACAAAAGCAAAATAATCTGCCAAATATAGAATGAACATTTTTTCTTTTTAAGGGAGCATTGCTTTTAATGAAGGGTTACGTGTTATGCCTTTTATCTTCTAAAGAAGGAGAGCAATCGTGTGTTGGATTGTTTTTAAAACAGATTTTCATCAGCCTGCAAGACCCTTGACTGAGGAAGAAGAAAGACAACGGGAAGAGAAAATACTCTCAAACCTCCATGACAAATTATTTGGGACACAAAAGAAAGGTTAGTTGATGGCAAATGAGTTTAAGGCACTTCCAGATAGAATTATACTCCAGCAGAATTAGCAGAAGGTAGATCCAAATCTACAGGGAAATCTTCAAGTGATTCCCTACAGATTTGGAAAGATTTCCAACCCCCTGTGTTGAACAACAGCTATAGCCAAAAGGTTCCTTCTCCTCCTAGCAGCTTCAAATAGCCACCAGCAGCAGCGCTACTGCAGCACAGAGATAAGTAAACATAAACACGACCAGGTCTACTTTAAGTTAAGACAAAGAAAGGATTTTTCTTTTTTATATAACTGATGCGGTGCATTAATATTGGTCTATATACAGTGGCTAATTTTAATTAATTAACAAGGCACAGGGGCCTATCTCAGTTGTGTGGCTGGTCATGCGTTGAGATGTGCACCTTCTCAATTAGTCACAGAAAGTTATAGAAACTTTATGGTAACAACAACAAGATTCTGGTCCTTTGTTTCGTTAAGGGGACAGCTATACATGGGACGTGGTGGCACTGTGGGTTAAACCGCAGAAGGCTCTGGGCTGCAAGCTCAGAAGACCAGCAGTCGTAAGATCAAATCCACATGACGGAGTGAGCTCCCGTCGCTTGTCCCACCTCCTGCCAACCAGCAGTTTGAAAGCATGTAAAAATTTGAGTAGATAAATAGGCACCACCTCGGTGGGAAGGTAATGGCATTTCGTGTCGCACTGGTCACGTGACCACAGAAACTCTTCAGACAAACACTGGCTCTATGGCTTGGAAACAGGGATGAGCACCGTGCCCTAGAGTCGGACACGACTAGACTAAATATCAGTGAAAACCTTTACCTATACATTAAATTTAGAATTAATGTTTAACATACCGTCCAGCGAAGATCCTCCATAGGGGCAGCCATTTTCAGGTGCCTGTGCAGCGAAAAATGGCAGCTGAACACAGCAGGGAGCCATTTTGAGCACCTGGTGGCCATTTTGAAAACCCAGCGATTGGCTGTTTTGATCGTGGGGAAGCGAAAATCAGTTCCCAAAACAGGGAACCGATCATCACGCAGCGAAATTCCCCCATTCAAAACATCGTTTTGTGATCGCAAAAAACTCGTTGTAATGCGGATTCGTCGTTAAACAGAGCGCCCGTCTTGCAAGGCACCACTGTATGTGTTTTCAAGATCACATAGGTAACATTAACCCACCAGAACCTGCTCTGTTTCCACCAAATCTGTGCAGATAACCTTTGTGGGTTTTTTTTCAGCAAATGGTGGGTTGGAGCCAGACTTAGTCCTATGTAGAGAAGACCCGTGGAAGTACATGAGGCGTAATTATGCCATAGGCTTCAATGGGTCGAGTTGAAGTATGGATTAACTCTGGATCAATTCCAGTGTGGGGATGCTCTTGATAATTGTCACAATCATCTGTTATTTCTGTCTTTAGTGGAGGTGACGCTGGATCCCCAGACAGCCTTCCCCACCCTCATCCTTTCTGAAGACCGAAAAAGTGTATACCTGGGTAGCCGAGCCCAGCCTCTGCCTGACAACCCTGAGCGCTTCAACGTTTTGCCATGTGTCCTGGGAGCAGAAGGCATTGGCACGGGAACTGTAGAATGGGTGGTGGAGGTTGGCAAAGCCAAAGGCTGGGCCATTGGTGCAGTCCGGAAATCAATAGATAGAAAAGGGTACCAGTACATCACTGCTACAAAAGGGTACTGGGTGTTGGAGCTGAATGATGGAAAATACAGGGCCTCTACCACACCTTCGACTCATCTAATCCTGTGGAAATCACCACGACGGATCAAAGTACACCTTGAGTATGATTTTTTCATCCTTTCCTTTTATGATGCTGACTCCATGGAGCATCTCTTTACCTTCAACTATCCGTTCTCTGAGGTTATCATTCCCTTTTTCCAGGTCTGGGACACAGAGATTCCTCTGAAAATTTGCCCACTTGATTAATAGGGGCTCAAAATAACTTGGACTGGGACTACATGGCTAAATACAGTAGGACCCCTGTATCGGCGAGATCTATATCCACAGTTTCACTTATCCATGGTCTGAAAATACAGTATTAAAAATACTGTATTAAAAAGATCCAGAAAAGGCTATTTTTCACATGTATTACCATAACAGGCCACCAGAAGGAGCCAGAAACTATTTTAGGAATACTTGTTAGTGAAGAATACATTGCATGGTCCTTAGCACCCTCTAGATAGTTCTGGTAACACATGTGAAAATATATTTTTCCTTTTTTTCCCTTTTATCATGTGTTTTATATACAGTGGAACCTCTACTTAAGAACTTAATCCGTTTTGGAATGGTGTTCTTAAGTTGAAACGTTCTTAAGTTGAAGCAAAATTTCCCATAGGAATGGACTGAAAACCAATTAATCCGTTCTGGCTGTTGTTGTTTTTTTTTTGTTATGTAGAGGTGCGTTCGTACATTGAAGCATTAGTTCCCATAGGAACTAATGCAAAGCTGGTTAATACGTACTCTACCACTAGGG